CGCTTGTATGTTACCATTGTATATGTATGTAACTCTATATGCACCAATGTTATATTTTTCTTTTGTGAAAAAAAAAACTTAAAAACCAATAAAAGACTTTGAAAAGTAAAAAAAAAAAAGGGAATGTACTGTTGCAATAAAGGAATGTACAAAGCAATAATTTTGACACTTTATAGATCGCTGGTTCAGCCTCATCCTGAATATGCGGTTCAGTTTGGTCACCAGTCTACAGAAAGGATGTCCCTGAGCTGTAGAAGGTCCAAAGAAGAGCAAGCAAGCTAATTAAGGGGGCTAAAGGATCAAGACTACGAGACAAGGTTGCTAAATTCAAACTTGTTCATGCAGGAAATGAGGAGATTAAGAGGGGATATGATTTTGTTGTACAAAATGTTCAGTGGTGATGGCAACATCGGCACTAAAATTTTACTGTAAACTCTGTGACAAGGACTAGAGGCCACCACCTAAAACTGGTGGAGAAAAGATTTATCCACAAAGGGTGTAGGTGCTTATTTTCAGTTAGAGCTGTTACATTTTGGAACTCTCAGCCACAAGCAGTGGTATCTGCAAAGAATATTGATTCATTAAAAAATCAATTAGATACTGTCCTAAGAGACCGTAACGTACAGGTGTGCAGGTACACGTAAATACTTGACCACACAGGGATGTGTATACAAACACACACACACAAAGGTTGAACTTGATGGACCTGTTTCTTTTTTCTACCTCAAATACTATGTACAAAAATTCATTGTAACACTGTCACCCACCCACACACACACACACACACACACACATGCAAATATAAACACGTACGTAGGGCATGCACATGTATGTAAACAGTGATTGTGCCACCCATGTTAGATATCGCCCTTTATGTTAGAGTGGAAAAACAAAAATGTTTCTTATTCATATATCACTCAACTCAAATAATTTCTGAATTGGTGCTGACACTGTCCTTCCTTCTGGAGGGTGGCAATTTTTGTTCCCCATGGTCCCTATGTATGTTGTAGAGTACCCACTGCTCCAAGCTCGATTAGTTTACTAATTCGTTCTGAGATTGTAGTCCATCACAGGAGCGAGCTTGGAGAGGTGGCTACTCTACAACACACACAGGGAGAACAAAAGTAGCCACCCTCCAGAAGGAAGGACAGTGTCAGCATGAATTCAGAGATGATTTGAGGATCTACAGCCGAGTGATACACAAATAAGATACATTTTGTTGATAGTTAATGTACTTGAATGTATTTTTAAGATTTAAGGGCCTATTCACACCATCAGGAGTGCGTTCGGCCTCTGAAACGCACTGGAACACAACCTGGCCGGCTCACTTTGTTGTGGGGCAGAAAGGGGCGTTGAACTGCATTGAACTCAATGGCACCACAGCCATGCCCCCCACCCGCGGTGCGACCAACAAAATGAGCCAGCTGGGTGAACAAAGTGAGCCAGCTGGATTGCGTTCCAGAGACCGAACACACTGGAACACACTCTTGATGGTGTGACAGGGCCCTAACTCCTGATTTTAATTTCACTTTAAGGCTTAGCATGGAATCTATTTACATGAGATGACTATGAATGGGTATTATATTGTGTTTATGTGCGCTGAAACTCATTTTAGTGTATCTTCTCCTAAAAATATCAATTTGACAAACATTTGCTCAAACTTTGTCTGACACAAAGAAATTGCAGCTATCATTTTTATTCTACAGGGCCTCTGCTTTCAGAAGACATATAATTGTTTGGGGATTTCCAGTAATTTTCTATCCAAAAATTTTGATTGTAAAGAAGTAAAAGACGTAACCGTTGCAGCAGGACTACCCCCGCACACTGCAAGGGTTAAGTGCTCATTTTCATCTAGGGTCTACAATAACAAAGACAGAGTGGAAGGGGAGAAGAGGCTGTGGGGACTGGTCTAGCAGCCATGTGGGACAGAGGTTTGGGTGAGTATTTATTTGTTTGTTTAGACCCTAGACCAAAATGAGCACTTAACCCTGTTAGTGCAGGGGTAGCCCCACTGTCTGGGTTAAGGTTTCTTTTGCGCGGAGTTCTTCTTTAACGTGTATTTTGTGTCCAACGGAGTCTGTCCGCATGCACGCTGTCGGGCTATGTGCATTGACTTACACTAAGTTGCTCCTTATCTCCCGGTCGAAGATCTCTACTGCGCAACGCCCACCCCATAAATGTTGCTTGGCTTCTCGAGAATCTTCAGATCTGTGGACAGGAGCGAGCGGCGGGGACAGAGTTAAGTAAAACCCTTTTGGTAACTTTTTTTCTCTTTATGTTTTTGCATATATCTATTGCTAGCAAGCAATAGATATATGCAAAAAAGGGTTTAATTATACTTTAAGGCTTGTTTGGTATCTATTTATTCAACGTGACTCCATCTTTTATATTGTGCCCCCAAAAAAATGTATTATATTGTGTTTGTGCACACTAAAATTATTTTTGTCCTAAAAATATTGATTTGTTAAATATTTGAGAGAATATTGTCCAACATAAAAAACTGCAGATACCATTTTTTTTATTGTACAGAGTCTCTGCTTTCAGAAAATATAAATTGTTTGGGGGATTAATGTAATTTCTATCCATATATTTAGATTTTAAAATGTGTGTGAAAATGAACAAAAAAAATGGCTCTGGTCCCGAAGTGGTTAAAATGTCACTAATGTACTAAAGACAGCTAAGGTTTGCTGAGTGGTGTGAAGGGAGTGGAAAACTCAGAGTGCAAAGTGAAAGTATTCAGCACAGAACTTTGGTCAGCTGGTAATGGTGTGTGAACCAATAAAATCCCTGAAACTGTGAATCCAGGAAGCAAAGACTCAGCTGCAGAGCAAACACGCTATGGATGCATACGTATGTAAAGTTACTATTTGTTGTAGAAGAGTGCCAGATGGATAGAAGAGTTCACAGATTTTTCTGCTGTTCTCAGGATAGAAAAACAACAGTGTGCATCTACTTTAGCAAGCATTATAACACATAAACATTCACAGAGCTCTAATTCAGCATGCTTGGATTGTATGTGAATTGTTGTCAAAGTTATGAAACCTACATTTTTTATGACTATGGCCAGGTCACAAAGTTTAACACAAGAATAAGACCCCATTCACACTGAGCGATTTGTAGCACGATTTCCGCTCAAATATTGCACACTGTAGCACTATGTAGCTCGACCAATGCATTTCAATAGAGCTGTTCACATATGACAGCTCAATGTTGCCTGTAGCTTTGTAGCTCAAGCTTGTCGCTCGAACATGACCTATTTTTCCAGCTGATTTTGTGCGATTTGGCCCTAATAAGCTTTGATAGACTGCCAAAAGAAGCGCTTCGTAGTGCGACAAAATGTGCACTGTAGCTCAATGTCGCTCAGCTCAAATCAGCTGATGTAGCTCAGTGTGAATGGCTTCTGAGTATCTTGATTTTCAGAAATGTGACTGTCTTTGAAATGTGGCTAAAAGTATCTTTCTTGTGTTAAAAAAGAAAAAGGACCCTTGTGCTGTTGTGTTGGCTTTGTGAAGTGAACCTTTTGTGTTTTTTGTTTTTACAAAAACATGGTTACATGCACATAAACACTAATGATGTGCAGGGGCTTGGTGCAAGCCCAAGTTTGTCTGAGTTCACCCAAGCCCATGCAAAATTGTGATGGACACCCCCTAGCCAAATCATATCTGGCAGGGGGATTCCCTGCCCTTTGGGCCCATTCACACCACATCCAGATTTACCTCCAGACCAGACTGTTTCCGGACCCAAAATGCATCCCTATGCTATTTCTGGCCTCTGTTCCCACCAGCGCAGTCTGCTCCAGACCAGAAAAATACTGCTTGTCCAGTTTTGTCTGGTCTGGAATGCATCAACACTGTATGGAACGCACTGGAACGCACCTGTAAAACCATTTTAAGCTTAAAAAGAATTCCAATTGTGGCAAAATCTCTGTAGAAATGCAATGCACTATGTTCCAGATCTGGACCGGAGAATGGTGTGAACCCAGCCTGATATCTGACTGCAGTTCAGTTTTGCAACCAGTTGCAGGCAATTACATTTTTTATTTTTAAAATGGAGTATAGTAAGATTAGAACCTCTGCCAGTTTTTATTTTTTGTTTTCGATTACGGTCTGTGTCCCTGCTCTGGAGCTTTTTGCTTGTACCAGAGCAGTATGTTAGGCAATAGCAATGTCCGAGGGCTTGGAGCAAAACTGGCACTGACACTTTCCTCTCCTAGCCCAATCAGTTGTGACAGGGGAATTCCCACTTTGCTCACAACAGGAATGATCCTGACCCAACTGATTGGGCCAGGAGAGGGTGTGTCAATGACAGTTTTGCACAGACTTGGGCACATCACTATTAGGAAACCCCTCTCAGATGCCGACACAAATAGCAATAAAAATTACTTGCTTAGTAGAATGAGAAGGAGTGTGCCAGGGTGTGAAAAAGTGTCCCAAAAGTTTCAAGTAGAATTAGACCCTCATACTTATTTCTTTAGCAGTATCCAGATGCTTTGTTATCTCTCTCTCAGCAGGGAGGGCTTGCGATGATCGCAAGTACAATCTGTCTGTCCAAGATGGGCAGATTGTACGAAATTTTAATCATCTTACAACCATCGCACAACGAAAGTCGTGCGATGGTTGTAACGTGTATGGGCAGCTTTAGAGCAAGGGCCTGGGTGCTGCTCATGCGTGAGCCTGGCCAGGTGCATGCACATTAGAGTGGCTAAGCTAGGGCTCCAGGGAGACCGCAAATGGCAGGAAGAAGAGCCTCAATGTGGATGGGTCATTCTGCTTAAAAAAAGGATGCACAGAAAAACCCATCAGAAATATGAGAATTATGCTTAAACATAACAATTTTGTATTTGAAGGTTTAATAACCTTTAGGAGAAATGTTCACCAGTGTGGACCCAAACAATAAATACAATGTACATGACAGAGGTTCAAAGCCTGCATATCCGAAAATAAAAAACAAGGTTGCGCCTTAACACGAACATTGTTATAACACATGTTTTTCTTTATTTCAGCATTAATAATGTCATTAATAACACAGCACTGGTAAGTACTTTCATATTCCACAAGCGATTGTTAGTGTTCTAAACATACCAGCCTATTCTCACATCTAACTCACTTTTTCACCTTCTTTAGTCTGATCATTGTCCTATTCATTCAGCTTGAAGAAATCCTGCCACCACTATGTTCTTGTGACTCCTATGTTGACATACTTACTTTAGTTTAGGTAGGAGAGTGTCTTTACAGGTCTTCATGCATTCTTCTTCTTCGAAACTGATGTCCAACTGTTTCTGGGCAGCACCATCTTGTTTGTGACATCTTTAGGGCTGTACAGGCAGAGAGTAGTCACTCTTGTAAAGCTTCCCACTACTCCTACACAAGCTGGCTCACCATCATCAATGTAACCAAAGCAGTAGCTGTAAAGCAGATACTATAGTACTATAGAGGTGTTTGTGAAAGAGCTTAATGAGTTCCACACTTTTTTTCTTCCAATAGTTATGTACCTAGCTATCTAATATGTAAAGTAAAACTAAGCTTTTAACATCTTTTGAAGCCATTCTGGTACCTAATATGACTAGTGATGATGTGGTAGTATACGAACAGACCGCACTATCCAGAGAATTCCAATACTGTAGGATTTATTGAAATTCACAGCAAATCCAGTATAGCAGTGAATAAAAGTGTATAAAGCAACAAATACCAACACCGCACACCCCCAACCAGTTACAACTTCTCACATGTTTGGCCCGTAGGCTTAGTCATAGAGGTGAATTACCTCTATGACTAAGCCTACCTCTATGAATAAGTCTACGGGTGAAACATGTGAGAGGTTGTAGCTGGTTGGGGGTTTGCGGTGCTGGTATTTGCTGCTTTATACACTTTTTTATTTACTGTTACACTGGATTTGCTGTGAATTTCAATAAAGTCTGAAGTATTGGAATTCTCTGGATAGTGCAGTCTGTTCGTATACTACTATATTCCAAGGTGGAGACTCGTCTATTAGACCAGCACCTGGGGAGTCCTGATGGCAGCTAAGGAATTGGAGCGGTAAGATTTCCTTTGGCTCTACATTAGTGATGATGATGGTTTTGAGAGTCTGGGGGCTACATTGGGCAATCCATTAGTGGTCAGTAATTGCAAAAAGGTTAACAATCCCTGACTGAAAGTATATCTAATGCCACAATTTTTTATTTTGCATAGATAAGGGAATGGTTAAAACTAGGGATGCACCCATACAGTTTTTTCGGTATCGAGTACCGATATTTTTTTTTTCTGGTACTCTCCAATGCCGCCTGGCTTCTTGATTAGCCGGGAAGCCAGGCGGCATGTAAAGATTCACCACCCGGCTTTCTCTATTAGCAGGGAAGACTTCAGTATCGGTGCATCCTTCTTTAAAACCCTTATTAGGTGTTTTTTCTCCCCTGGGGAGTTGTTCTGTAGACAAAACAGGAAGTAAAAGGAAATCTCTCTAAAATGAGGGGGAAGTTGATATCTCTCACTTCTCGTCCCGTGAAATTGGTGATCAGAACACGGACCACACTAAAAATACATGACAGAGGTACTAACCCTTTTTACTATATCCAAAACTACAAAAAAAAAAGGTTTTGCTTTAAATACCTTTTTGACTGTACTCAAAACAGGCCATCGTGGACTTTCCCTCTTGATCTGACATTGCTGGCCATCGTCTGACACTCCAAACCTTGCATACTCTTTGCCTTTTGGGAATATTCCCCATCAGTGATGTCTCTTTCTTCCCCATACCCTTCTCTGCCAAAGTATCCTAGGGCTTTGGCCTCAATCTTGTTCTTGTCTCCTTTTATTATCACTCGTAGTAAACGCCTCTTTTTTCTTTTAGCCTCCAACACCACATGCAAGCAGTTGGTACCCAGGCCTTCCGGTCATACCCTGTAAATATATTTCCCATTGCCCCTTATTTTTGTTTGCATGCATCTCGTATATACCTAAATACCTACAGTAAATCTTACCTGAATAAGACAAAGCTAAACATTTTCCCTCTTAACTTTTCAAAAAACTCCCTGACAGCTCTAACTGCAAATAGGATCATCAATCTCCCTGCCTCAAAACTTCTCTGCTTCAACCCGTTCCTGCCACCATTGTAAGGCATATGGCAGAACAAATGTTCTCAGATTGCCAGTTCGGTATGACTTATGTTGGCTGCGTTCACCCTTCTGCTATAAGCTCATGGTCTCTTCAGCTAACCATAAGCTTATAGTAGAAGAGTCCCCCTGACTGCTGTCTGCAAATGCATAGCTGTCACCAGCAGCTAAGTCACTAATAACAGCTATATATTGTAAATCAAAGCCCCCTGTCCCAAGTGTTTGTATATAACTCCAGTGTTTGTTCATAAACTGAGGAGATGGTAATTATTTATGTCCCCAGTTATGAATGAACAACAAGCACTACACATCACTTCCTGTTCATTCATGACTGGGGACATAATAAATACTTACCATCTCCTCAGTTTGTGAATGAACAGGAAGCCTCTGTACTGAATGCTTCCTGTTCACTGATTGCTGGGGCTGCAGAGAAGGAGATTGAGGACTCTGTGCTCAATCGTTTCCTTTTTCAAAAGGGAAAAATTTTAGGGGTCTGGACTACAATCTCAATACAAATTAGTAAACTAAATGTGAGATTGTAGTCCATCACAGGCATGAGCTTGGAACGGTGACTACTTTACAACATATACAGGTGAAACTCAAATAATTAGAATATCGTGCAAAAGTTCATTTATTTCACTAATGCAACTTAAAAACAACACCAATTCAAATATTATTTGAGGATCTACAGCTGAGTTATACACAGATAAGATAAATTTATGTTAATGGCTAAGGTACTTGAATGCATTTTTAAGATTTAACTCGAGTTTAGTGCCACTTTAAGCATTGAGAACAATTAAGGTTCTCTAACATCTCTAAGTTCTGAAGCAAAAAGCAATCGGTTTTTCACTTTATAATTTGCCCACTCCCAGAGCTCACCTGACAATAAACGGCTAGATAATTCCATTAGTGTGCTCAATATTGGTTCAAAGAAAGTCGGCAATACATTCTTCAATCCAGATATGCCTTAATTTCATAATGTCAGCAGATACTAAGCTAACACAGGCAGTGTTTTTGTACTGGTATCAGTCAATACATAATCAAAGCTAAAATCTGAATTACAAATCAGTCATATTCACATCAAGTCAACACAAATGGCAACATGTGTTAAAGGCTTAGTTTACTTTTTGGACCATGTTTCATGTTTGGGGTCTAACAGGAAACATGGTCACATGGCAACCCTTCCCTACACACACTTGTATACATTGCAAGGTTTTTTTCCCGCAGGCACTTGTAGACTTTTGAATTTGGCACAGCTGTACATGGCTTTACCCACAAAGCCACTATATCCATACACAGATCTTTTGCTAGGATACCTGAATGGAAGAACTACACGTTCTATTAGCCACCACAGCAGGAGGACTTGTAGTTCTGACCAGTGCGGTGACATCAACCCACACGTAGTCCATTTATTCTTCCTCCTGTTCATATCTACTTAATGTCAATACCTCAGTAGGGACATGGATGCAGGCCCGGCGCTACCGCAAGGCAAGTCAGGCGGCTGCCTTACGGCGCTGCGGGGTGAGGGCGGAATAAACGGCATTTTGACAAGTACTTGTCAAAATGCCCCGATGTTTGCACTATGTTTTTGTTTTACATGCTGGTTTGAGTGTGCCATGATGCCTTTCTACTGTTTTACTGCCAGAGGATCCCAACACGCGCGGCACCTCAGGCAGTCACCGGCCAGCTAAATTAGGACCCCACTTGGAGCTCCTCCCACTGGACCAGCGCTGACTCGCCGCTGCTCTCCCGTACCGAAGGTAAGTGAAAAAAAAAAAAGAAACATAGCGCAAATATCGGGGCATTTTGACAAGTACTTGTCAAAATGCCCTGTTTTTACAGGGGGTGGGGGTGGGGGGGGGCGCAAAAATGCACCTTGCCTATGTAGGCAAGGATCCTAGCACCGGCTCTGCATGGATGGGAGGATAAAACAGCAGGAGCCAAAGCATTGCATCCATGATCCACTGATCACAGTTGCAATGCTTTAATGGCTCCAGTGCAAAAAATAATGTACATTTCTTGTAATTTCTTGTTATGAAGTGTGCATTTTATTTTTATTTCCAAACAATGGACATTACCATTATGGCATTACATAAAAAACTAAATAAATGTACACTAGATGGCAGCAAAATAAACCATTGTGTGAAATAATAGTTCTGGGTCTAGAGCCAAACAAAAGATATGTTTTCTTTTTCCTAACTGCAATGTTCACTGTTTCTGTTCCTCTCTGGGATTCTGGTATGATTCATAAACCGGACACAGGGTGAAAATAGGACATCACATACATTGTTTTTATTATAAATAGATATGACTAAGGACTTTTGTCCAAAATGTGTCAGTGGTTTGGTTTTTGTAGCTGTTTCAATGAGAACATATTTGGATTGTGCAAAGGCGTGTGGTCTAAATCTCCCTAAATCTTGAAAATGTCCCTAAATCTCGCCATCAATGCAACATCTCAAAAATATGCTTGTTAACTCAAGAACCACCAATCTCCTTGTTTGTCCTGAAAATCCTTGACATCCACTGGTGCCACTAACTAGATAAGTCTTGCAGCAGCATCCACATATCTGTCCCTTCTAATTAACTACTGTTCTTTCTTTCCAAATATTTTTACTTCACTTAGTCAACCTGCCAAAAATAAGGTTTACTATGTTTTGCCCTTAAGGCTCATTCACACGTGAAACGGCCGGCCCCTACAGATCCGTGCTGCATGCACGGCCGTGTCGGGCCACTCCCGGTTAGGACAGGTGCTGCGTGTGATTTGTACGCAGCAGCCTGTCACTCGCTATGGGAGTACGTGGTTGTACGCCGCCCTACGCTACCCCGATCTGTCCCTGCTCCTTCTAGGAGGAAAAGTGGTTTTGTGGACTAAAGGTCGGCTTTAAATCTATAAGTCTCGCACTTTGGTCTTACGCTCCTACACCTTGCCATTGGTTATTAGTATCTGGAGACTGCAGTGAGCATTGAATAACTCACTCCATGGGAGACCACCTATTGGCTCATGGCTTGTACTATTGCTAAACATTCCCTGCCCCATGGGGAAGATCAGATGTGCTTAGTTTATGGACTCTTATCATTTTGGGACCCTAACTACAGCAGTTCCCTGGCTCTCATACTGATCCGATGGCTTCAGTATATTCTAAAGATGGCTATACAATGATGGATTTAAAGCTAAACAAAAAATTGGCCGAAATTTGCTTAGTATATGGCCAGCTTTAGTCTCTCTGACGTGGAACAAATCTGCAGATTAGGAGTTCTGACCCTCCACTGACTACTCTTGTCAGGTCTCAAAGTATAGTATTATTTACACAAATATTTATTATATATACACTTTTTCACGATTGCTTGACACGGAGGCGACATCATCTGATCCCTACAGTTATCTAATTTCCTGAATGGCATTTAGCGCTGTACACTTCGTTATACCATAGTATTATTAGTATTGCAGTTTTATTTTCTAAGGCAGAAATCTGGGCAAAAACAAATCTTGGCCCTTGAAGTGGGAGTACCCCTACACTGCAAGTTTTACGTGCTCATTTTGTCTAGGGAGTTAAAATAACAAAGTTATACTCACCCAAACCACAATCCCGGCTGGCTCCTACACCACTTCCTGCAGCATGTTTCCTATTCTACTCCAGTGATGGAATGTCCCTTGGCATCCTTACATCCCTATACACTATATAGAATGTGATGACTCACAGGACTTTAGACCACTGAAGCGGAGGGTGAGCGCGGCTGAACGCAACAGTCTATGAGCAAGCCAGGATCAAGGTTTGGGTAAGTACAAGGGGAGACCAATAAGTTCTTATCCTCACCATGATCCAGATGTGCTAGGGATCTGAAATTTAGTCCACTGACTTCCTTCTCTACATATCCACCTCCTATGGTTACATACTCACATCTGTGGAACAGACCTTTCATACCATCTGTGTAGAAGTATGCAGATTTGGAGGAAAACCAGCTATCAACTTCAGTAATGATTGCCTCATCATTGTGGAAACGTCTTCTCCATAAATGTTTCTTCAGATTTGGAAACCGGAAGAAGTCTGAAGGTGCCAGGGTCAAGTGAGTAAGGTGGATGGGGCAGAGATTCATAGCCACAATCGCGAACCAAAGTGACAGTTTCTGCAGCTCGATGTGCAGCTAGCAGCAACACACGGCTCGATATTCAACTTTGTCTGGCATGACACCTACTCCATTTCTCTTGGCTCTAACTATAATTCACCACGACCAACAAAAACAATAATTGGCATGCATATTACTAAGATATCCACCTATAAACCTGCAAAATGTCAGATCCCTAGCACACCTAGATCATGGTAAAGGTAAGAACTTATTGGCCTCCCCTCCCCTACAACTTTTTTTTAATTATTTTAGCTCCCTAGTCAAAATGAGCACTTAACCCTTGCAGTGTGGGGGTAGCCCCACTGCAAGGGTTAAGATTTTATTTGCCCGGTGTTGTATTTCAAAAGGGACATGAGTTCTCCTTCTTCTTCTTTTTTTTTTTTTTTTTTTAGGTACATTCATTTTTACCAGTACCTATGTGTGGTGCCTGGTAGAAGGATGAACCTCCCTAGGTATTCAGTTATTTGTTCAGGAAATTTCCACTCATGGTACATTTATTCTAATTCAGTATATAATGAATATTTATGCCATGCATCCAAGAGACAAATGTATGTACTTCTGCAAAATAAAAAGGTTTTCTTTGCTGCCATTATTTGCTATAACCAGAGTTTTCACTGTTGCAGGATTTTCCTGTTAATCTTACAGTCATCCAGTTACATATTTATAACGGCAACACATTCTAAACCCAACTATGTGCTGATGTTGGCTGATGATCTTGGCATCGGTGACCTTGGCTGTTATGGGAATGACACAATAAGGTAAGACTTCCATTGTTGTAAAAGGCCTCCTTTCATTCCAATGCTGCTATGAGTTTTGAAAGCAAGAAAAACATTTTGGTCTGTATATAAATACAAACATTTACTAAAGTGTCAAAGATGACAAATATTGTTTACATACAAGATCCATATGTAATCATACTTGAATCTTGATGGGCTTTGTGTGTTTCTTTCAGATCTGTGCAGTAATACAGCCTGGAATTTAGCGTTGTGCAGGCGCTTCATGTAATAAAGACCGGTCACTGCTGTTCTCTCTCCTTCTGCAAAGTGATTGGTCTCCGCCCTTTCCTATAGTTCTCTGCAGGCAGCCTGTAGTGGGTGGAGCCTTCTGGCCCTCCCACAGCTCTGCTCTCTGCACAGATTTTGTGTAGTGCAGTGATGATTTCACTGCCATTTTACTAGGTAATAATTGGGTTTGCAAAGGCATTGGATGTTTAGTAGATTATAACCTTAGTGGCTATTAAGGAATTATTTAAATAAAAGTTTTCAATTCAGCTGCAACGTGTAATAACCAAACATATTCTAGTTGGCTTTATTCTCTTGCAGATTGCCAGATTGTGGTTGGTGTAGTCTTCTAGGACACTTTTTAGTGTCCTGCTTTGAAGCTGAATTCCAGGCAAACCACTAAATCCTCATTCATAATACATATATGGGAGCTGTTTTACTTCCCAAATTATTTTATATTTCTGTCCATTTATTCCTGACAGCCCAACCAGCCAATGAGGCCAACTGGACACTTCATCCTCAATGCAGATCAGCTGTTTTTGCTCAGCCACCTACACCATATTAACCAATGATGCTTGCCTATCAGCTTGGTGAGACCTGGCTTTTCTATACGGCAATTCAGTAACAAAACTAGGCCACCTCTTTATTCCCAGCCAGTGACATTGAGGGAGCAGCATCTAAAAAGGCCTCATTCACCTGGGAAATTGAACACATGCATTTATTTGAATCCAAAATTCATTTCTAAACACATATATATGTCAGGAAACTTGCCCTTAGCAATGATGTGCAGCCACTGCTGGAGCACATGCATGTACACATAAAGTGGTTGCAAAGAGGCTGCAGCAGATCACCTATACTGAGATGAAACAAAATCAACATCAAACTCCTGCTTGGGAAATTCTGTCTGCTTTCACTAAAAAGTATCTAGAACAATTGAAGCAATTACTCATCTACTTAACTTCTGAATAAGAGTTGACCTCCCAAAGTTATTCTTTATTATTTATAAAGAGTTTAAATTTAAAAAACACTGTATAGAATGTTGCATTCTTTTTCAGAACACCTAATATAGACAGGCTTGCCAAAGAGGGTGTCAAATTAACGCAACACATTGCAGCAGCACCAATATGTACACCGAGCAGAGCTGCTTTTTTGACGGGAAGATATGCCTTCAGATCTGGTAGGTAAAACATTTATACATATTCCATAGTTTTGATAACTCTTCACAAACCACTTAAAGTACCCTTCTGAACACAAATGGTAAAGTGTAAGTCTATTTGCTGAAGTATGTGCAGAATGGGGGAAAAATGCCTGATGGAGGAGGTAATAACTGTCCTTGTTTATGATCTTGGTGACTACATTCTGAATATGAACATTCTTGGGTTTCCCTGTGCAGAGAAAATGTTAAATAACATTTCGTCTAGCTCAAAGACTCTGCTGTCATTGATAGCCACAGGGCTTATACTAATGATCAGGAGTAGGGTTGCACAGATACCAAGTACAGTACTCGGTACGAATACATGTACCGATACTTTTTGAGCTTCAAGACTACACTAGAGAAAAATTTAAAAGTTAGGAGACTGCTGTCATTTGTAAGGAGCACATGGAGCTCCTGGGATCTGTACATCTCTGTTTTAATGTATGATTTTGTTTTTATAAATATAAATGGGATGCACAGATACCAGTTTTGCGAGTACTGGTACTTGAGTACTTACAAGTACGAGTATTGATACATTTTTGTTTGTCATGTGACAGTTTTTCTAAAACAATACAGACTAATGATTTCAGGACAGTGGTGGATCGCCACAACCAGGTCCCAGCTGCAACCGCTGCAACCCTGGTAGTTCTCATGAAAATGCCAAGTATCTGCACTGGTACTCAAAGTATCTGTGCATCCCTAATCAGCATAGTTCCTGATCAGGTGATCAATGTGGCAGCCAGCCATGGTGATCACATATAGATTGTAAATCTGTTTACTCGCAGTAGAAAAAAGGTTTGAATGTGGTTGGTGATGCGGGTAGCAGTAAGAAAGGATGTTACTTGGCACTAGCTTCACTCCTACTATTGATGCCATATAGACATAGGTGTGCCTGTTCTGTGGTGGATTACACCAAATATGGTAAATTCACAGAACATGTCACTGTATATCATTAGTGGTCCTTTCAATGCTTTTACTTGTTAACCACAAGTGCTGGTTAAAAGCTTGGTGGGTAATATTGGTGGCCAAAGTCCACTTTAAACCATGTAATTGATTTTGGGTGGACTTTTTTAAAACATTGTTCAGTGTTTATAGTAAGGTTTTCTTCTGGAGTTCTGCAATTTATTCTTTAAAATCATACGCCTTCTTTTGGACCATGTTTCATGTTTTGTAGACCTTAATGGAGTGCATGTGTGGTGATGTTACTGCTCTTTTAGTCTACTGACTATTTCCTCCTATCCCATAACTGAAGGTCCATAGCTCCATACAGGGTTGGGGAAAAAGTCTGCATTGCACCCATGATCCACTGATAGCAGTTGCAGTGCCTTGCAGGCTCCAATCCTAAAAATGAATAACCACACATTCTTTTTCATATAATGGGTGTGCATTTATTTATTTTTTAAAGGTGGCCGAGAGCCAAGAATGCTCAGCCTGGAGTTTCAGAAGAAAACTAATGTTTTGTATTTATTCACAATGTTGTGATTCTGCACATCTTTGTTTAGGTTACATTCTCTAATATGACATTAAATGATTACAACAATACATTTTCCTAGGCATGGATACAAATGGAGGAGGTCGTGCTCTAAAGTGGCTCGGTGTATCCGGTGGACTTCCTCCTAATGAGACCACATTCGCTAAAATATTACAGAAGCAAGGCTATTACACTGGCATTCTAGGTACAGTACCCAGGAGCCTTCTCATCCTTTTTGTTATCAAAATGTTATATGATGTCAACTAAAGTACTATAGATACCAGTGCTGTACAGAATCTTGCACTTTAAGTAAATATAAATGATCCCAGTGAAGGCAATACTCATTTGTTCAACTCATAAGCTGCACATTTTTTGTTGATGGATTCCATTCTAAGAAGTGGATGTATGAAGGAATACAGCCTACCAGCATTTAATATACATTAGCCTTTCACTTACTATGATTCCAGCTCCAGCCTAGACTGTGGAATATATATATATTAGTATCTATTCTGGAAGCTTCACATTATATCTGAAAGTTAATGAAATTCTCTCATTCTTGCAATTAACCATAGATGTAGGACTTCCGCAACTGTGATCTGTTTGTAACAACACTGAGGTTTCAGTCGACTACTGCCATGTTTCTGTGTTCAGACAAAAATTTCAGTTTGAGTGTTTTTAAATTATTGATGATGATAGTAATTTTAAAAAGGGTTTTGAAAAGTTTACCATTAAGGTGGGGCAACCCCCACACTGCAAGGTTTGAATGCTATGGCAGTGACCGATCACCTCTCTCCCCCTCTGCTCTGGTATGATATTGGATTTGATGACATCACGGGGTCCTTAGACTGCCTGAGCCCAGGGAAGAAAAAGCTACAGGGACCGGTCTAGCAGCCAGATGGGACCGAAGATGTGCATTTCTTTATTTCCGCAGGTGCAGGTGTAGCCTCACTGCAAGGGTTTACTTTTCAAAATCCTGGCATTCCGATTTAATATTTGGCATCTCCCCTCATTTTCTTCCCTACTGACACAGGTCTCCAGAACTACTAGTTAGGGTGAGTCTCCCAGGCAAAGGGACAGACAGAAATAAAACTTGAAAGTGGTTCTTAACTTTGACAACTTAATCCAAAAACAAAAAAAAAGTATTGGCTAGTGTTTAACTTTAATGCTGCATTTCATAATAATGAACCTGGGGTCAAAAATGGTGAATGCACCACTTAGAGAGGGACAAGTGTTTTGGACCTGATCACAAATTTGGACCGGATTAAAGGTTCCGTACTTATATCTGCCGCCTGGCCTGATTATATATAGAGTGTACACTCAGAGAAGAAACCACGCTGAGACACCGTTAGTTCAGAGTAAGATACTTCTTCTTTTATTCTTCCGCTTAACAGTCTTTTATAGGCAGCTGCACGTGTATGTTTTGTATGTTTTAATAGTAGCATTGCAAAAAGCGTTCTAGCTTATAATTGGTTAGATCCATTCATGCATAACTTCCTTCCAGGATGTTTGACTTTCGTCTTGGGTGTTGTCCTGAAGAGGAGGCGCCATCTTGGTTCCTATTTCTAGTGCGTACTTCGGATGGGAGGGGGTTGTTGCTTAAGCAACTATTTTGAGTAAGGAAAACGAGCAATAGCAAAATAACATATATATTACAAGTGATCTATTGAGATAGGCATTTTGTCATAATCATACTTAACCACTTCCATTTCAGTCCCCCCTAAAATGACTTTTTTTCCTGTCCCTTAACCTATCACCTGGCACACACCCCGGAACTCTTCTCTTAACATGCATAGGGGCCATCCGAGCGGCTAATCCACCTCTGGATGTCTAGTTCACAGTAGAACCCTGAATGTTGTAGAGGGATGGACAACAGTTACAGGGGACCAACTCTACTCTACTAATAAAAGTTGAAAAGAGAGAGGTTCCGGTAGAGCTTCCAGGTAATAAATATGGAAGCCTTTGGAGACGTTGAGGATGGTCATGTTGGTCATTACTTCTCTGTAGATCACAGCAATCTATGGAAACCCACACCGACACCAATTCTTGTATTTACATAGTTATGGTCTTTACTATTAATAATGGAAAATATTTTGCTCTGTGTTTTAGGAAAATGGCACCAAGGACTGAACTGTGAATCCCTTAATGATTACTGTCACCATCCTCTAAACCATGGATTCAACTATTTTTATGGAGTACCTCTTAGCCTGATAAATGAATGTGAGCCTGGACACCTGCTGGAAATAGATGTTCCATTTAGGGCCCAACTGATGTTTTTCACGCAGCTTATCGGCTATTCTGTGCTTACAGTAATGATTGCTAAATATACCAATCTGCTGGCAATCAGTGGGAAAGTGGTGTTCGGCTGTGTATTGTTTGGCATCTTGTTTTTTATGGCTTGGTACATAAAATATGGTTTCATCCAGTACTGGAGCTGCATACTCATGAAGGACCATGAAATCATGGAGCAACCGATAAATATACATAGAGCATCTGCTGGCATACTAAGGGAGGCAAAGCAGTTTATAGAAAGGTATGTGAAATACGTCCGTCATTATAGGGCATTGTTGGCCCATCCTTTAGCCTTGCACAAATAGTGTTATGTGAAATCTGAGAGTTTGTATGTACAGACAAAACTCTGCATTTCAGTGTGTTTGCTGTGTATCATGTTTGTTGAAATGTCAATTTACATTGGCTTAATGTCTACTTTGTGAAATGTGTTTTATTAAGCAACACATGCTTTGTACACATTATTGTGATCTAGAATGCTGAACCCCAAAAATGCTCCCAGACCTGTTTGGAACATTTAAACATCTAAAGTAGAACTCATGAACCCTTGCAGTGGGGCTTCCCCCGCACTGCAAGGGGTAGACGCTCGCTTTTCTCACCTGATCCTTGGTACTGCGGCAGTGACGGCTCGCCTCTGTCCCCCTACACTCCAGCTGTGGTATGTACCTCAGCATCTACACATCCAATAGACCTGTACTGGATGTGATGACATCATGGGACTTTAAGAGGCTGCAGGGACCAGGGTGAAGATTTATTTTATATTTTTACTCCCTAGACAAAATCAGTTAGTTCTTGCAGTGTAGCTGTTTAAAATCCCCAAGTTCCACTTTGTTTGTTTTGGTCTAGGGGCTCAATTATTATGTATGTATAATTTAGATTTTTTTTCTTTGTGTGAATCTGAACACAACCAATCAAATAGATTGGTTTTCTCAAATATGCTTGCAAAAGTGGAACTATTCTTTTGAGAGTATGCAAAAAATTGTTCAGAAGAGTGGAACCTTAATGAAGTAAACAAAAACAAAAAAAGTCAGCCTGAGATATGGTCTTTCCTTTCCAAATGCACTTTGGGGAAGAACACTAAGGGGTGTTTTTATAAAACATTTGCAGAGGTGTTTGAATCTTAGTCATATGTACGCAGAACAAACAGCATTATGATTACTAGATGGAGCTGAAAAGCACAGGAATTACTTCTCGGCTCCATCTAGTGGAGTTAATGCAGTGAAAAAATAAGGGGGTTATTCACTAAGAGCCGCTGAACCCAGTCGTAGCTTCGGCTGATCCTTCGACTGGAACCGAAGGGCTGCTGTACGGGTTGGAGCCGAAGTGATAGCCAAAGTGGGGAGAACGGCCAGCTTAAGGCCACCCATTCGCCCCACAAATTACAGCTGGGCGCAGCCAGCTGTGATCTCGCGTCTCTCTCTGCCCAGTTGTAATGACAGATCAGCGTCCCCAAATGACCCGGGGATGCTGATCTGTCATTAAACAATAACAACTGGGTGGAGATGGCCGTGATGTCATGGCCGGCTCTGCCCAGTTGGTCGGGACCTGCTAGAAGACTCTAGCACAGTGGTGGCGAACCTTGGCACTCCAGCTGTGCCAAAACTACAAATCCCAAGATGCATCTGCCTCTGGGAGTTATGTCTGTGGCTGTCAGAGCCTTGCAATGCCTCATGGGACTTGTAGTTCCAAAACAGCTGGAGTGCCAAGGTTCGCCATCACTGCTCTAGCAGGTTCCGGCCAATAGGAAACAGTTGGGTGGAGCCAGCCGTCACTGCTACCTCATAAATACACCCCTAAGTATGTCATCTAAATAGAGGTACTGTAGAACACAAATATGTACAACTTAGATTTAAGATTTGTAGAGAGTAGACAAGGAATGTTAACTGCGTCCCACAATACATCTTTAGAGCCACCAAATTATTAGACATGATGTTCTTTCAAAAAAAAATAATCTAATTTAGGGCACCAAAATAATTGAAATTCAGAGTCCCAAAATTTAGGATGCCAAAGCCACTACACTGAAAAGTTGGGCACCTTGGAGCTAAAAAATCAATTTCTTTTGCAGACATAAAGATGACCCTTTTCTGCTTGTCATTGGGTTTCTTCACGTTCACACACCTTTGGTTACAACCAAATCATTTACTGGCAGAAGCAAACATGGAATTTATGGGGATAATGTTGAGGAGATGGACTTTATGGTTGGTAAGTAACAAATATATTCAGTAGTGCGCCTTTCCAGTTTGAGTCTTGTCAGCATGTTATCTGCAAAGATATTCTACATCTCGAAGGAAGGTATAGAGGCACTCATGAGTCTTGCAGTGGAGATAAGTCAAAGCATCAGCATTTTATTGTCCCATCTACTTGTTAAATATTATTAATGATTTTGTTTTATGGGCGTTTGTATTTCAGGTGCGGTTATCGATGCTATTGATAATGCAGGTCTGAAAAACAGTACTTTGGTTTATTTTGCATCAGATCATGGAGGACACATAGAGGTCAAAGATGGTGTAATTCAAACCGGAGGATGGAATGGAATATACAGAGGTGTGTGTGTGTATATATGTATGTATATTTAAAGCTGAACTCCAGCTATAGAAATGTATAATGTATATATGTGTGTGTGTGTGTGTGTATGTGTGTATATATATATATA